AGGCTGCATTTTAAAGGGGTAAGTCAGGTGGATCGTCGAGGCAAGTGAAGAATAATTAGATAGTAAAGTAATATACAGAATTAAACTGAAGAAAAAAGAACATTTTACTCTGTGTAAAATATTCAAAGAAATCACCACGTGATTTTAACGGCTGTGTACTTTTGTTATACGTTTTATAATTTCTAGAACAAAGTTCCTAGTGTTGTCATATTATATTCACACTTTAGTGTTAACTATCTCTCAATTGCTGCAAAGGGTTGCTAGTTCTTTAAATAAAAGTCATTTAAGAACTACAAATGTTTATTTTGCATTTAAGGTATGTGCCTACCCTAAATTCGTCGTTTGGTGAAAATTTTCGAAAATTTTTTATTTATTCATTTTATAGGCCATACATTTAGGTTTCCAAAAATGCTTAATATTTGTTTTTACGATACCTAAAAGCAAAGTTATAGTGTAAAAAATAAACCGGAAGTGAATTTTTGGATGCCGGAAGTTGGCGTTTAAATGGTCGTAAAAATGTAAACAATAAGTTTAAACAACTATTTTCTAATTATTAAACAATATAAAAGCAACACATCTTTTACTGTGTGACATTTTGCTGATAAAATGCCTACATGGGAAGACTCAAAACAATAATGAGTGTTTTAATAACCTTTTGAGGACTATTTTACCTAAAGAAACTTTTGTCCAACTGAAAACATTGCTTTTAGGTGTACATATTGCTGCATTATTATTTAATTTAAGATGTTTAGGACTTTTACATATTTTCAGGTATATAGAAAGAGAAATTAATCCCATTATGCTTGAAAGCTACATGGGAATAGACAAACAGCGAATTCAGAAATCGAAACGCCAATCTCTACATGCAACAAAGTTATCCAGAAAAATGCTAAAAGAAAGTTAAAATTATTAAGAATGAAGTAAAAGAGGGCTTAACATACAAATACGGCGAGCTTTAAAGATCTAAAGTGGCTACAAAATTTTTTGTGCTGCATTAAAATCTTTAAATGCATTTTCTGAGAAATTGTTTTTCGTTACTTTTGATTGTTACATTTTTTTCTTTCTTCGGACACCAGTTGTTATGTTATTTTCTTCCTTCACGTTCGTACGGGGTTCGCGTGGATTTGGAGTGAATAACAACGACACTTGATGAAGTATCGAAACACACTTTATTGCCAGTATTGTCAGGACAGCTCCAAAACACGTTTTACAGTCTTCGATGAACTACTATAAACACGCTTCGGGTTATCAGGCTATCACGGTGGAGACAGCTTCACTGCAAAGCACCAGAGTACAGCTCCCGAATCTGCTCGGTCGTTCTCGGAACTTCACGTACTCTCGAGACTCTCCACGCTACAACTCGCGATGCACTCGACGTCACACAGAGCACGGCTCCCGACTCTTCGGTTGAGTCGTTCCTGGAGTTCAACAGGCTCTTTCGATGATGCACTAACCGCGATACACGAAGAGATTCTTTCGGTGCAATTGACGACCCGCTCGGCACTCGCTGCCCGGCTCTCAACTCAATCGACTCCACAGGTATTGACTCGCTAGACGAGACACCAACTCGATACTAACTCGCACTTTAGACGAGGCACTCTCTATAAGCTCGCTAGGCGAGGCACACACTAACTAACTGCGAACCAGCAGGGTTTATATAGCTTTCGGCTTGTGTTCGAGAACATTCTGGGCTAAACCAGTAAGAATTCGTTCCAGAAGGTTCTCCAACCGTACATGGTATATCGCCAATTTTGTCACCAAATGTCGCCAACTGCGCGATTTCTCGCCAAATGTGGCAACCCTAAAACTGCTTAGCGGGGTAGTTATCTTAACGCGCCTTTACATTTCGTAACAATATATTTATGCAGATTTTTCATTATTTAATTTTTTCAAATATAATGCAGGACTCTAACATTTGGTGGCAACAGTTTGTAAAGTGAAACGGACATTTATAGTACACCAACGCAAAATCGCAAAACGAAAACAATAAACCTTCAAGGACAAAGCCCCTTTGCACTAATAATTTATTAATGAGCTTTGTTAGTTAACTATGTCATTTTAGAATTCTATTAAGTGCTCTAAGTTGCATTAATTTTCTATGCTTAAGTCTGCATTTTACATTTTCAGCAAATATTTATTAGATAATAAAGAAGTATGAAAGTAAAAATTATCCTTCTTTCCATCTTGCACTCACAAATCATTATACGAGTATTCTTTCACAATTATTAAAGCCTAAAAAACGCATGTCTGCGATGTTATCGTCAGGCGATGATTTGTAGGTACTTTATTTTTTACCACGATGTTTTTAAACTGCGAGGTTTTTGAAACGCTTGATTTTCGACGACAATATTTTGTATCACGATGTTTTAGAACTGCGATGCTTCTCTTTGATTTATTTTCTCCCACGATATTTTGTTCCACCTTGCGTTGTTTTCTTCGCGACGTTTTCGTCCTCGATGTTTTTGCCGCAATGTTTTCGGCGGACATCCAATATCAGAATCAACTTCCATAGTAAGCTATGAAAAGTTGTATTCATTTCAATAACTTTTTATAGTTGTTTATTTAGTTATTATTTCTCATGTAGTTACTTCAACACAGCCGTCGTTGTTTAAGTTGTTCGCCCATTCTTAATTTAAGTGTTTCATTTTTTAATTCATTAGCATTCGATTTGACACACTCAGTTACATTGACGGAATCTAATTCAATGAAACTATTGAGATGCTCTTCAAAACTCCATCACCCCTAGAGATAGCTGTCAGAACTTAAGAAGATGCATGTTTATGAACTTGGTATGTAAACACATAGTAGCAAGTTGTAGTCGATTGAACTCTTCTTTTATTGTGGACCAAAAAATTCTGGTGCCAGACATGCTTCCATTCTTATGTTTTTTATTCCATAACTTTAAAACCACACGAAAGCCGAACGGATTGCATAAAACGAAGGGGGTGATTAATGATTTATTAATAATTTTGGACCATTAAATAATTGGGATCTCAATAATCAGGAAATACCAAAGAAAATTAACAAAGATGCAGCAGGGAATAGCTGATAAGTTTCTTAGTGCATATAATCTTTTTCTGGATATGAAAAGTATTTTTCTTTTTTTCCCTCATTTCCCTCTCATTTTAAATCTTTTGTTCTCAAATCTGAGCTGGTTGTAAGGAAAATTTTGCTGAGCTGGAAAATTTTTTTTGTAGCATTTTATTTCATTATCAGTAATCAAATAAAATGTATGCATGGGCTTTCTGGGGGGGGGAAGCAAGTTCAAAGTTTTTTTTTTTTTTTTTTTTTTAAATATGAAGGTTAACAAGTAGATTATAGAATACAGTGCTGTGTTAACGCATGCATTGTACACTGCGAAAGAAAAAAAAGGGAAGTTCTTATATCTCGCGTTCTACTGGGCCGATTGACGAAATTCAAATTGCGTTTTTCATCTCTCGACAGCGCGACTTAGGATATGTATTAGATTTATATATAGCATTGTTCTAATATATAATATAATTGTTCTAATATAGGTATTTTGACACGAAATCGGACTTTTTCTGAAATAACATATCAATTTTTTTTTCCATATTTCAATTCTACGATCCAAATTACGTCAAACTACCAAGTTTTATAAAAATCGCACGAGTCGTTTTTAAAAAATTATCTCTCAAACTTTTAGCTCCTCAATGTTAATTGAGTTTGGTATATATTTATTAATCTCACTTTTTGTATTAAACTTATTTGATTCTTCCTTTCACATTTCGAAATTTAGGTTCATTCCAAATAAAATTCACCCGTTTTTAATGATTTATTTTTTAAATTGTATTTTTAATTAATTTTTATAAGTTTTTCAAAAACAATTTTGAATTATAATCTATAACCATCATCTTATAGTAGACGTATTTCTAAGCATACCTGCAAAAAATTACAGATTTTTATTTAAAATTTCTGAAGATATACTGAATTTATATATTGGCGCGTTTTGAAATTTGGCATATTTGTTGAAAGCGACAAAACATCAAAAGTGGTTTAGACCAAGGAGGTTAGAATAGATTCTATTCTATTCCTACTCTAACCTGCTTGGTTTTAGACACTTTGCTAAAATTATTTGGAAGTAGAAATAGATGTGACTTTCTTCCCGCTTATGTACAATGTAAAAAGGTAGGAACGAGGCGCCTTTTTCCCCGCTCCGGCATAATGGAAGGAAAAGGAAAATTTGTTGCCACATATTATTAAGAAGTTTGCCAAGTGAATTATTCTTGGCGCAAACTGAAAAAACGTGCAAAGATAAATTTTTGAATTTCTCCATAAATTTCACAGCAAATTTTACAAAATTTTATATCTAGGCATAATTTGAGTCGTAGAATCGAAATATGCAAAAGGTTTTGTATGTTATTCCAGAAAAAGTCCGATTTTGTGTCAAAAATACCTATGCTAGAAGAGTGCTATATATAGGATATATATTAGATATGTAAATCTAATGTATATCATAAGTCGCGCTTTCGAGACATGAAAAACGCAATTTGAATTTTGTCAATCGGCCCAGTAGAACGGGAGATGTATTCCTCCCCCCCCGCAGTGTACATATAGTGTATATGCATTGATACAAAAACAGTTTTACGTCATTCTATGGGTGAACAATTTGAGCATTTGGCCCCCAGAATCGGGTAAAACTCGAGCGATAAGTGTCAAGTTTGCCCACCCACTTTGTGGGTGCTTAAGGATATGAGTGCAATTTGAATGTTGTTATTCATGTACTAATCTTTTATCTATGCCTTTTCCTTATCACAATTAAGCATTTGTATAAAAGTTCCCCCCTCCCTCCTCAGCTACCCCTAGAAGATTTATTAGTGTGCAGTTATGAAGTAATAAAAGGCTAAAAATTTAAAATAATGGCCATCATTTTTTTACCAACTTAAAAAATTTTTAAGAACTAGGAAGAAGGTTGAAGCAAATATTGTAAACCTGAAGCTTTATTTACAAGTATTTTATATGTTTTTAATTCTTTATGTTAGGTTATTTGACATTTGCCAAGGAAGGCGGCTGGAAGATGAGCATCAGATGCTAGTGTATTTAGTGTTTGAACATGTTGATCAAGATTTGGCTACATATTTAGAAAAGTGTCCACCTACTGGCTTAACTCCTGATAAAATAAAAGTAAGCTAATTCATCAGCATGTAGATTATTATTATTGAATAGTGTTGCTAATATTTTATTAAAAAAATGAGTGAACTTAATTTGAAATATGAGGTGCATTATGTTCACGTGTTTATCAGTCTGAAATATGTGCATAATTTTTTAGCTTTTAAATTCTTTTTGTCTGGGATACTGGTCTAGGCTTTTGCTACTGATGTAAGTGACTATAGAAATCTGTCTTGTTACCAGCTTGAACAAAACCAAAAATGAATGTGGTATCTTCTTCAGTTCAATGGGAAAGTGTGTCATTTATACGATTAATTAGTAATTTAATGATTAAATACATGTTTTAACTTCCTTTGATAAAGAGGAACATTTTAAGTTTTGGCTATTTAATCAGCTAAAAGGCAAATCTGAGTTCAATTCTTGCTAGTGTAGGTCATCAACAGTTGAGTGGATAAAATTAAAAATTCATATTTCATTCTAGTTTGCTGAGTAAGCTGATTACATGAGGTACTATGATTTTCTGATTGTATATTACAATTTTGGATCATTTTCCCAATCATTCATAGTCTTTAGGGAAGCATTTCTGCTAAATAAATAATCTGACAAAATCTTCCTTGTAGTTTCCCCTCTCCCTTCTCTTTCCTTTCTTCTGGTTAAAAAAATTTGGATAATGCTTTTCTAGTGCAGAAATGAGTCTTTTATAAGACCATGCGTATTCAAGGAAACAGTATTTTCTTATAATATATTATTAAATTTTAAACCGAAATAAGATAGTTAAATAATACTTGACTGTTTAATGTGCAAATTATATGTGTGTGTGTGTCAAAATATTAAAATTTTTCTTTTTCCCCCTTCCCTTTACAGGACATAACATATCAACTACTTAATGGTTTAGATTTCTTGCATTTCAACCGTGTTTTGCACAGGGATTTAAAACCTCAGAATGTTCTGATTTCAAATCAGGGAATTGTAAAATTGGCTGACTTTGGTTTAGCTCGAATATACAGCGAACAAGCGACCCTGACATCTGTGGTAAGTAAAATATTTATTTCCTCTAAAACATCATCTTTGGAGAGTAAAAATAAATAAAATTGGATAAATAAAATTGTTAATTCATAAATTCAAAAATCTGATAAATTTTTATCTCAGACACAGTATTTAAATTGTATATTTATCTGGAATAACATATATATGTATATATATATATATATATATATATATATAATTGTTTCATAAGAATAAATTGAGTTTAATTAAAAAAATTAAATTTAAATACATATTTAATTAAATATTATTTGTGCCATTGCTGCAAGGAATGAAATTTAAATTGAAACAAATTTAAATTCTTAACAAATACGTATAAAAGTAAAAATGCAAATTTAAATTCTAAAAAAAGGAAAAAAGCCAAAATAATTTTAAAATATGCAAACATGTAAAAGATTTAATTCTCGAACTAATCTACAATATCATTTAAATTCAGAAGCATAAGCAAATCAAGTGCAAAATCTATCCATGAAAATAAATCTACTAATTTAATAAATTGAAATTAAATTAAACAATTTTAAAAAAAATGCATCTGTGAATGATCGTAGAGTAGGCAGGAGACAGACTTATTGTTAAGAATTTAAATTTGTTTCAATATTTATGTATATATATATATATATATATATAATATATATGTATATATATATAATATTTAAATTCTAAAAAAAGGAAAAAAGCCAAAATAATTTTAAAATATGCAAACATGTAAAAGATTTAATTCTCAAACATATACATTCTATATATATATTCTCTCTCTATATATATACATACATACATTTCTCTCTCTCTCTCTATATATATATATATTCTTTATACCCAGTGTTCAGAAAAAATTTTGTGTATATCAGAATGATGGTCTTAAACTTTTAATGCTGTATTCTCTTATTTTAAAATCACCTGTTCAAAATCAGCCTTTTTGATTCTGCCTCAAATCAAAATGACATAAGTGTTTTTAGATTATTTTAGAAATAAAAAATAATTAAAATAAGTCACAACATGCTTGTATTTTAATATGCAAGATTTATAATTTGTTGTGAAAAACTGTTACCTTGGATAATAAACTATTTTAGTTATTAGACAACAGCATTTATTAGCCAAATTTGTATAATTACTTAGTTTAGTCTCTATTTTCAAAAATTTACATTCATTAAGAAGACATTTCTATAATTAAAAGAAGTAAGAAAGCAAAATATCATAAATTATAAGCTAATATATATTAAGTGACAAAAAATATCATGACCAGATAAAGCCGGTCATGTCACGCAGGTGGTTAAAGAAGCAAGCGTTAACTCAAACAGCGTTTAAAACAAGTTGATCAAGCCAGTTGGGACAGATATTACTGTAATTCCAGTCAAGAATAGAGAAGAGAGTGCAGGATGTTGAGTTGCTGACTGACATGAAACTGTAAACTGTTGTAATTAGAAAAGCCATTAATTTATGCTAAATGAATTAATGAAGCTCTGGTAGCTAGAGATATAGTATGCATTAATTCTTAATTGATTACAAAGGTTTGATTGATTTAATTTTTAATGTAATATTTTTTAACTGATACAAGGTAAGAAATAACTCATTATTTTCAGATTAGGATGAATAGAATAATTCATATTAAAGAATTATGAATGTTAAAATTAATAAAAATAAGTTAGGATTCAAGAGTTCCTAAGAACTAATTTGAAAACAAAGTTGTAAATTTGGAAACCCATTTTTTAAACTATGAGCAATTCAGCCATACAGTATTTAAAAATTACTTTTGTTAATTTTTAAAATATATATTTGTGCCAAGTGAATATGAGAATATTAAATCAGCAAGCTGACATGATACCATTAGCGACCATGCATATACATAGTTGCAAAGCTTGACTCCTGTTTTTTCAGCACCTTAAAGTAAGTGCTATAGTTGACACCACATGCAAATTAAGTGCATTAATAATTTAAACTGAAATGCATCTTTTTAAGCTGTGACCTATGAGAATAACGTAGCTGCCATCCTCAGAAAATCAGCACCATAGGTGGTTCCCTGTGTCACTTATGCTTGGGGCCAGCCTTCCTAATTGCTTTGATTATCTGTTGTTATAAAAATTTCAAAATTAATTGCATTTGGTGACTTCATTATGTTTATATTGCTTAGGTTGTTACATTATGGTATCGTCCACCAGAAGTTCTTCTGTCTCAGACTTATGCATCTGCTGTTGACATCTGGAGCTGTGGTTGTATATTTGCTGAATTATATAGACAGAGGTATGATTTTTTGCATAATTTAGAACGTTTAAATGTTGTTTAAACAAAGTGGGAAAAATCAAAGGTTATAAAAAACTATCTAGATCAGAGGTTCTCAACCGGTGGTATGCAAGAGAAAAATATGTGGTATGCAAAGAAGCAAAGTATATTTAACTATTAAATTCAAAATTAAAACCCCAATATCCTGATTGAGTTTTTTCTCTAACACTCATAAATTTATGCGATCTGAGCTTTGTTCAAGAGTGGTGGTGGTAGTACTTTTGTAGTGGTGGTACTAAAGGTTTTCAATTTTTGTTTAGATGCTATGCGTTAGTCAAAAGGTTGAGAACTGCTGATCTAGATTAATTAATGCTATAAAAACTAATGATCTAAATCATTTCTGCTTAGATTTTTTTTTCATTATCTGTAATTATGATAGAATCCATACATGTCTTTAGAAATTATTTGAATGGCATTATCATTTTATTTAGTTCTATACTGGAATTCATTTAACTGTGAAATTAACTGTTTTGTTGCTTTTTAGGCCATTATTTCCTGGAGAAAATGATATTGACCAACTAGTGAAGATTTTTCAGTTAGTATAATTTTTTAAATTTTAATGCTTTAAAAATAAGTAATCAAATAACCGTTATGTGCCTTTTTAAATTAATAAAAAAACATTTTATTCCTTTATATATGTATTAAAAATTGAAAAATTTTAATTTTTTGTTTTAGATAAAACTGTTTTTTCTTCACTATTTATTTAGTTTTTAGCTATTTATCATCATATAATTCAAAATTTTAAGAAGTTCCTTTTTAATTTAAAAATTCAGTTTTTATAGATGTAGAGCATTTTTGCCATTTCTGAGTTTCTGTGGTTCCCTATTTATTGATGGCTTATGAATTTAACCTAATGTTCTTCAAATCGCTAATTTCTAAAAAAATGTTTTGGCTTTGTTTCTTGATTTTATAGTTTTATTTTGTGTAATTTCTTTTAGCCATGTCAGAGATGATTATAGCCAGATGATTGATGAAAATATTGAAGTCATTTAAAAATAATTTTAAAAGTTCTTGTGGCATTTTAATATTGTTTTATTTTCTTTAAATTGCTTTTAATTTGTTAATTTATTGCATTACCCTTTTATTTCAGTAATCAACTGGATGTAATTCATAAACACTAAATGTATGGTTCAAATTTTATTAAACTCTGATTGCAGCATTGAGAACTTTCAACTCAATTTGATTTTTAAAATAAATTATTTCCTGTTGCTGTTGTATGAAACATGTAAACAACACAATATTGTGCAAAAATATTGTCTCAATGACCAACCACCCTGAATTATTGAAAACAATTGTTCCTTCAAGCTATACATTAATCAAGTTTTTAGAAAATGAAATATATTGTTGTTACATATGGCTTTATTGGAAAGATCAATCCAAACATAAAACAGCTCAAGTATCACACAAGCACAATGATACATAATAAAAAAGGAACAAACATTTAAAGTAAGCCTGAGAATAAATGAACATGGGAACAAAAGTAAAAAGTTAAAAATTTAAACAAGGAACATAAGAGATGTCTTTTCAAAGAGTTCATGAAAGCTCTAGCATTCAAGTATAGTTTACTTAACTCCCCAAGTTTCTAAGACTCTTTATCTAGTTCTGAAGATATAAGATGCTCTGCATTCATGATGCTCAAATTGCAAATTTGGCATATACTAGATGGAAGGATATCAATTTTATTAAGATAATGTGCCATGCAATTGTGTCCTGTTTACAGTCTAAAGTTTGCCACAGCCTCTTTGCGGGGTTTTTGACAAAACTTTTTCCATGTGTCTTAAATGTTAGCCCAGGATTTGCCTGTTGATTTTTCTGCCTGGTCAGATTTAAGAGTATCCATTAATTTCTCAAAAAAATATGCTTTTTAAGTGACTCTAGAGGAAGTGGTTTGCTGTCTTCTGGCACAAGTGTTCCTCTCTTGGCTAGTGAGTCTGCCTTTTTGTTACCATCCATACCTACATGTGAAGGGATCCATTGAAAAACAATTGTTTTGTTGTGTTTATAAAGAAAGTTCAAGGTTTGTCTTATTTCTGAGATAATCATGGTATCTGTGTCATAATTTATAACTACAGCCTGGATGGCTGCTTTGGAATCATCTAGAACTGCTTTAGAGAAACAGTCGATCTTTATCTTAAGGTTTTCCAGAGCCAATGAGATTGCAAGGATCTCTGCATAAAAATTCGACATGAAGCGTCTCACAGGAATACATTGGGAAAAAAGTTTACTGTATACACCAGCCCCAGTGTTGTCTTGTATTTTAGAGCCATCAGTGTCTACTCTAGTCATTCAGGTTCAGGTTCTTGTTCATATAACATACATAATGTGTTTGATTTTAATACTGCATCAGGAATGCTTTTTTTCCCCAAGTCATTAGTATCTATCTGGTATTTATATCAATATATTCAAGGGGATAAACCATGACCTTGTTACAATTCATTGGTTTGTTTTCATCTATTTCTTGTAATAATTTCTCACAAGCTTCTAGGGGAGACATTTGAATCTTCATAGTACATGGTTTGCATTCGTTCATCCATTGCACTCTATGTGATGCTTTCATTTTAACAAATCTAGCAACTGCTTGATTTCAATAGCAATGGGTAGGTTGGAAGTATAGCTTTGCCTAGCTGTAATCGGGGTAGTTTTCACAGCTCCTGTGATAATCCAAAGAGCTTTGCTTTGGGCTCTTTCCAAAGAGTCAATCTTCCCTTGTGTGGTAGAGATTAACACCTCACTTTCCATATTTGAAAAGGCCCACCAGTGACCGAGTGGCAAAAGTTGCTAAACAGTGGTAGTTCAGTCCGAGGTTTGAATCCCACGGACAGGCTGGCTGCATGGCCGTTTTCGTGGTTTTTCCCATGTGTAACGTGTATACAAGCCAGTCAACTACTATCCCATCTCACCAGTGGCTGAGCGGTAAAATACTGGTAGTTCCGACATGGGTTCAATTGCAGGTGAGCGGGCTGGCTAAATGAGCCTTTTCGTGGTTTTCCCCATGTGTAACGTGTATATGAGCCAGTTTCTCTTAGAAAGTCCTCCACAAAGGCATCCCTCGCCTTAGGCAGATAGCCCTAGTGTGCTTTGCTGCAATTAAATAAACCAAACCAAAACCATATTTGAAAATAGGTTTAATACAAGTGTTGTAAGTTTTAATTAGGGTAGTCTATGAGCTTCCCCATTTAGTACCGGCTAGTTTTTTCAAAATTGAGGATCTTTTCTCTACTTTTTCTATAACAGTACTCACATGAATGAAAATTAAATGGGTTAAAAGTGATAATGTGAACCAATTTTGGAAAAGTATGTTATAACTCAAAATTTGAGTTTCCACATAGAAAATGAAATGGAGAGTGATTAAGAAGATCCAACGAAGATCACTTGGCGTGAGGCTGAGGAAATGTTAAATTCATTTGTGAAATTTGCTTTTTTTGTTCGTATTATACGGAATGATTTTTTTAAAAATGAATACTTGAAGCAAAAGAACCTTTGGACTTAATATTGGATGTACTTCAATCACTGGAAGCTTTTGCTTCGAGATATCGTTTGAAAGGAACAAACCCCTTTGCATCTTTACCGATTAAAATCAAATGCTGTATTGCATAAATTCACTCAGATCTTCATTTTGTGCAAAGCGCTTGTTTCACTGACAGATGATGTAATGCTTTGGTTTGCTTATCAGAAAGCATTTGATCACTTTTTATTGGATAATGTCTTTCACACATTTCCTGCAAAAATGGATTACATCAATTGACTATTTCATGGAATATCATTATTTTTGGTGTATATTAAGATAACTTGAGACTTGAGAGTATATTTGCAGAATCTGCAATTTTTTCATGCGTTCGAGCAATTAAAAAAATAAATTCCTGCATTATTTTCTTTAATCTAATAATCTAGCATTACTAAAATCCCTAACTTGTTGCATTATCAAACTTTTGTTATATCTGCTTCTACATCTGTGATGATGTTGAATTTTGCCCCCATTTTGAATTCAGTCATCGTATTAATAATGACAAGGACCATCCTATTCTACTTCTTTCTATTTCACTTGGGCCCACCAGCGGCCGAATGGTAATATCGCTAAACACTGGTAGTTCGGTCCGAGGTTCGGATCCCACGAACAGGCTGGCTGCATGGGCGTTTTCGTGGTTTTTCCCATGTGTAACGTGTATACGAGCCAGTTTCCCTTAGAAAGTCCTTCACAAAGGCATCTCTCCCCTTTGGCAGATAGTCCTCGAGGCTTTGCCTTAATTACAGAAACCAAAACGAAACCATCTATTTCATTTGGTGATATGCTTTGATTAGGTATCAAACACAGCATATCTTTATCTGCAAAAAATTGTGCTGTTGAAACCATGAACATTATATTTCACTTGTCATTTAATAGTCCTAACAGATTTTCTGTATTCTGTTAATTCATATTAACTTTTATCTGCTAATGTTTCCAGTTAGGAATATTTATTTAAGAGAAAATTCTTAAATTAATTATTTTTCAGATCATTTATTACACTGGTTATCATAAATTAAGGAAAAATCGCAAAAATCACGATTACTGAAAAAGTTACATGTAGAATTTTATGAAACTTACCCACAATATACAACACATAGTAAGGTATCAAATAACATAAAAAAAATTATCAGACAATTATGGTAGTATAGAAATTAGCACATGTATAAAATGAACAAATCAAAGATGTCAGTTTGCTATAGTAAAAGTACCTGCAATATGGAATATAATCGCCTCTAGAAGCAATACAGCACTTTCAGCAAAGTGCGAGGCTTTCAATTATGCGGTCTATCAGTTCCATAGGAAGCGAGAGCCATTGCTCTTGCAAAGCAGTTGCAAGCGGGGCAAGGGTCTAAGGGGACGGATTGAGAGCAGCTAAACATCTCCTCAAAGCATCCCAAATGTGCTCGATAGGATTCAAGTTCGGGGATTGAGCTGGCCACTCCATGCGCATAATTGTTTCATGTTGAAGATAATCATATACGATGCGAGCCCTGTGTGGTCTTACATTGTTGTCCTGTAACAGGAAAGCATCATCTATTGCCCCGGCATATGGGCGCACATAAGCATCAAGGATGTCATCTCTATAAACATGAGCATTCACGGTTTCCCTTGGAAAAACATGTAGGTCTGTACGTCCACCCAAAGAGATGCCACCCCAAACACAGACACTGCCTCTTCCATGTATGCATCTCTTTCACGGATGTTTAACAGATGATAACAGGTTCCAGGTTCTCTCCATATCAAATAATGCCTACTATCGCATTCTAGACTAAACCTGGACTCATCCGTAAAGATAATAGCCCTCCATTGCTCAGGCGTCCAGTGGACATGTTGTTGTGCCCACTGCAAACGGTCCCTCCTATGGCGTGACTTAAGCAGCACGCAAATGGTTATTCGCCTCGCATACAGACCACCTTCATGAAGCCTTCTATGCACAGTTGACGTTGACACCCACCTTCCAGTGGCTGCAGCAAGGGAGGATCTAAGAAGAGTTGGAGTAGCGGTTCTATTCCTGAGTGCACATAATGTCAAATATCGGTCATCGGCACTCGTAGCAGTTGGCCGTTCTTGGATGAACCTCCTAGGTGCCGAATCTGTGATTTAAAATTGCCTCCAAAGTCTATGTACCACAGAAGGACTCGCATTTAGCCATCTGGCCACTTCTGTTTGACTTTGTCCTGCCTCTAGTCTCCCAATGACTTTCTGTTGTAGTTCTGCAGGCAAATGATGCCTGGAGATCATTGTTACGAACTGGCTATCTCAGATTTCTAATGTCACTATCACAGTGAAATATGTGGGCTTGCTCTCAAACATGGACTTTTATGTTGCTCGCAGATGACGTATTCCGGGTGCGCCACTAATTTGCATATTGGAGTTTTACTCAGCTTCTTTTACTTGGCAACATATTCAAATTTTACACGGTTTGTCTTATTTTTGAGGGAGTTATCGCTATTTTTGTGATTTTTCCTTAATTTATGATAATCAGTGTATTAGTTATTTATTGTAAACAAATATTTTGGATGATGTACGATTTTTTTCCTTGACATATGACTCTCGGAAATAAAAAATGATTAAGATTATTTAAATAACTACTTGATATTAATTAATTATATCCTGGAGAATACATTTATCAATGTAAAATGTAAACATAATCATTAGTGGAAGAGTTAGATCTGAGTATTTCCAAACGAAAATATGTTACACAAAATTATATGGAACTTAATTCTTTTATTATATTTTTCACTTAACTAGATAGTACTAGAACTGAGAAAGAAAGGGGTAGGAGAAAAGCAAAATATTAAAATTCTAACTGTGATTAAATTAGGAAGGTAAACACTCAGTTATTATCTATATAGGCACTCTAAGCTGAAAATAAAAACTTCTTGGTTATAAAAACAATGTTTATGTTTACATGCTTAACCTCTGCCAACATGCTTGCTTAAGCATAATTTTTGCTTAATGTAAAATGCATTCTGAATTTATTTAGAATTATTGGCAGTCCTTTGCAATGTGAGTGGCCAACAGACATATCATTGCCATGGACGTCTTTTAAATTTTATAATGGTGTACCTATTCGAGATGTTGTTCCAGAAATTTGTGCAGATGGGGCTGACTTGCTAAAGGTATGGGTTTTTATAAAAATTTTATGTATTCTGAAATATTCACTAAGTTCCTGCAGTTTATTTTTTAACTTCTTTTTTAATGTTATCTAGATAGTTCTATAGGAAACATATAATATTATACTATATTTTAAATTTCAATAAGTGTCTTAATTTGTTACTCTTGTGTCACGTTGCTCTTCCCCCCCAAATTACTGAACTGTTTTCTCTTTATGCAATACCATCAACAGTTTTCAAGTAATTTCTACTGAAGATTGATTTGATAAATAATTCTCAGGCTTTCTCTCATATAAATATGTCATTAACTTGTTAATAATTATTTCATAATTCAGTGTCTTTAAATTGGTCACTAATTACTTAGTTTAAAATAAGTAATAATTTTAAAAAGTCACATTATGAAACTTAGCAGAATTTTTAAGTGTGAGAATCTGATGTTACTTCTCTTATTAGATTCAAATGGGTAATAACATTTATTGTTATATATAAATGTTTTTTTGGAGGGAGAAAACAATGTTTAGTTACTTATGTATAAGAAGAAAGGTAATATTAAAAATGGCAGTAAACAACTTACTGTTGTTCTTGTCCAAAAAGCATCTCTCTGAAGTCAGGAAGGATGTTGGGATTTCAGTACTGATTGCTATGAGATTGGCAGGAAAGAAATCTTTGAGAAGTTGTTGCAACGTATGGTTTTGTATGCCTCCCTGCATAATTTTTTTATTATTATTAGTTTACAAATATTTTCTTTATAATTTATAACTGTAAATCTTTCATTGGAAGATTTTTAAATTTGTTTCCATTAAATATATAGAAGAGAGCCTTTAAATCAGTTATAAAGGAATCAATATCATCTTTGTCTTTCATTCTTCTTGTATGCCTAACATACTATATTACTTCATGAAAACAAATAGCTCAACAGAATTGCTTCAGCTTTATCATGATGATTTCCAGGCAATACATGGCAGATTCATTTCAAATTTGGCACACTGACTTTCATTAAGTACAAATTTTGATTTCCTACAACCACCATACTCCAGATGCTTGCAGACTCCCTTTAAAGTACTAGTCACTTTTGAGTGCTGTATTTGAGAGAACTTAAATATACATGTTTTTTTCACCTTGAAATTTCAACTGCGAATATATACAACCTGCCTAGTCATTTAAGATTATCGAATGTTAATATAGAACTTCTTAAAGGGAATACAAAGCACGTCTAGTAATACTCATTGAAAGATATATAGCTAGTCCAACATCAGACAAGCTTGTATAAAAAAAATGACATAATTATACATATAAGAAAAGAAAATAGGAAAAATGCATAAATTATGTATAAACAAAAGAATTCTTCGTTTTTCAATGATTAGGTATCATTTGTAAACTGCTATTAATTTAATTACACGAGACATCCTTTTCTTGTGTAGGTCTATACTTAAAAAGTTTCTTAGGTACTAGAATATTATTATACCAGTATATTAGTACCAGAAGATATTTTATCAGTGCACTTTGAAATTTAGTGGATTTCGAGATAGCATTAGTAACATCAACATCCGACCAACAACATGAACCTGTATATATTGTATATTAAATTTTCTACAATATTTCAGAAGATTTCCACGATAAATGCTTGATTCAGATATTTATTTGAATAATTCTTCAGCAAGAAATTTTGAAATGGAATCCACTCCAGTGATCTTACCATGTATGTAAAGGAAGATTCACACTGATAAATAAGATCACAGGTATGTAAAAAAGGGTTCATACTGACAATCATTGTTTACATAACCTGTGATCTTATTTATTTTAAATTTTTTTACCCTTAGCTCACGAAACTGCACTTTTCTTTTTCAAATTAGAATTGTCAATAGTAAAGGCACAAATTTCATTCTGATTGCATCATCCATTTTTAGTGGCATTGGGGAATTTTTAGTGGCATTAGTGGCATTTTTAACTTCTATTGGGGAAAACTAGAAATAGGTTCTTAATTTTAATGAATCCAAATCTTGAATGATTATTGAAATCATTCAATCAAGAGTAATATGATGAAGAAGGCAGCCAAAAAAATCATTTGATATTAAATGTTTTTAAATAAATCAAAATGTGAAATCTCATTTAAAGAAAAACAAATTTAAGATAGAGTTTTAAATTAATGCACCTATATTTATTAAAAATATATAAATTAAATTAGTAGATGAAGTACATAATTAAATTCTCGATTCTTGAGGTTAATTTTCTCAAAGTAATTTGACAAACATATTTTAGTAAGAACAGATTTCAATTAACAGTTCAAAATTTAATAACCAGATCTAAATAGTTTAACTGGAGTCATGAGACAGCATTGATAAACAGTGGCATGAGTTACTTAAAACATCAGTACATATTAGTACTATTTTATCTATGTTCAGGATTATTAAAATGATTCAAAAGTTAGTTTCGAAAACTTTCAAGAAAGTGCAGCTGGCCAATAACTTGAAAATTATGGCAAACTTTGCTGAATGCTCTACTGGAAAACAACCACTTTTATTTTTTAAAAAGTATCTTGTATTGGACATCAATAAAATAAAACTTTGAATGTAAGTATGTAAGATGTAATGACCTCTTAAGATCTGAATGATGAAAAAATTCTAAAATTCCAGTTTTGAAATTTTAAATTGTTTTGAAAATTCAAGTGAATCCTTATAAAAAATAAAGTGTAACTGATAATCCAGTTAATGAATTAATGGTCTAATGAATAAATTCAAATTATTTAATATTATATTTTACCTTAATATGCTTGTTGTCATATTAGTCATGTGGGTGGGAAAACGAAATATTTTTTTTTTATGCAGAAAGCCTTATTTGCAAACTTATTTTAAAATAATTTTTCTTTTTGGAATAGCAGTTTCACAGCAGGATGAGCTGCCCTATTATTCTTTTCAAGGGAATGTGTATGACTTAAAAATTGCTACATTTATTTTTCGAATTCGTTCTTTATTCTTCATTCAAATCAAAATATTTTTACATTATTGTTCTCATAAAGGTTTATTACATCTGCTAAAACCATTCAACAGTTATAAAAAAAGGAGGACATTAAGAGAAAATATTTGCTTTTCTGTCTCAAAAAGAAATATTCATTTGCATTTTACAATAGTTCCAGTTTTCTATACCATAGGAATGTATTTTCTTAAATGTAAAAAAGAAATAATAAGAATTATATAATTTATATATAAACTGTAATTCTTATATAAAAAATACAAAATTCTCATTAATATGCTTCAGTTTTTTGCCCCCATCTCAAACCTGTTTCGTTGCTTTTGAATGATGTAAATATGGACTTGCAGTTTTTGGAAAATCTAGTTATGGCTCTTGAACATTCTTTGAATTCCAGTATCTAGCTCTTACTGACATGAAGTTTGGCCATCCCTTCGTTGTAAACTTAAATCATATTATGTCAAGACAAGTTTTATCAGAAGTTGAATAGCATAAAATGGCAAAATTTGGGTGTGTATTTGAATGGATTAATGCAATAATATGGGGGATGGAACAGAAATGGAAATGGGTGTAATTTCTTACTTAAATAAAACTTCTGTTCTAAAATTGTCAATCACCAGGGTCATGATAACTTGGCTGCTGGCTATTTCCTGTTGAGTAGATGTCCAGTGGTAACTGCTGTCTTTTCTTCTGGTCTTGAATGTACTAATGCTTAACTACCTTCGTTTGGAAGCTCAGAAGACGATTTGAGGCAGTGCCTTAAATAAGGGGAAGCCATGGAAAGTTGTTAATATACGAAATATATTGCATACAAATATATTGTATGTTGCATATACAAAATATATTGCATATGTATTCAGTTTTTGTTTCCAAAAGAAAGTATTAATGCTAATAAGTTATGTAATTATGTATAGAAACCTTCTATTGAAAAAATTATTTTAAAAAGTGGGAAATCACATATCTTAACTTGTAGGGAGTCCCAAAATTACTTAAACCAGCTTTAGTCAAAATCACCTCTGTTTGATCCTCAAATGTTATTTTTACACAGTATTAGTTAATGTTTCACTCTACTGAAAATTAAAAATAGTAATTTTTAACAGTAGTACGAAATTCTAATTGTTTTTAATTGCAAGTCTTAACAAAATGTTAAATTTGCAGTTAAAAACAAAAGTTGACTAATTTATTATATTAAATTGTTTATGAAATTTGGCTTTAGCAACTTTTAAATTAATTGATGTATAAATATATATTTAAATTTGAATGCTTATTTATGAATACCACAGTGTAAATGTTAAACTCAGAAGGATTTTAATTTAGATCATAGTCTCTGGTTTTTAATTTTGTATATATCTCCATTTATTTAATGTAATTATTTAGTCTTATTGAACAGTTTTCTTTATATGTCTTTAAGTGGTTTTTTTTTTTCCCCTCTTTTTATAGAATATGTTGCTGTTTAATCCTGCAAAAAGAATCTCATGTTCCGAAGCAATGGAACATCCCTTTTTTAAAGACTATAAAAAAAATTTGCCAGATAATTTTAATCGCAATTTCCTTAAGAGGTTTAAATCCAGAACATATAAAGTAAGATCATTATTTTCAAATTTGTTTTCCAAGGCAAAAAGTGTTACTTATATTTGAGAATTTATGCTTTTAATTTAAAAGTTTTATTAAAATTTCAATAGAAACTAAATATTTTTCTCTTTAGTCTTGTATTATTTAATGTGAAGTTTATTAATGTATGAAATGTTGATTAAAGCGAGGACAAGGAACTATTATAGGTATAGTTGCAAAATATTGATTGAATGTTATAAGAAATTATAACATAAATGCTGCTACTATTTTTTCATTGTTCTATGCATTTAAGCATGTTAAATCTAACAATTCAACAAAAAATATTATGTACTTTCAAAATCCTAAAAACAACCTTATATTTAGCGTAGGTATAATGAAACACTCAATCGATTTCGAGGGCAGCTAAAGGTCCCTCCTCATCAGGAGAAAGAAATACTTAGAAAGAAGAAAATAAAGGAATCACAGAAACACGTGGTCGTTATCAGCACTGCATGTGGTTATAACTAGATTTTTAATAAGAATTGCACTGGCCGCCTACTTTTACTGAGCCAGGCTATCTGATCAAGCATAAAGGACAAGAAAAAATTAGCGAAGTTAAAATAGGGAGCAAGGGGCAAATGCACCTTACGCTCAAAATCTGAACTTCAAATAATGGAAAGCAACCACTGAACGTATTTTTATACCCTCTGGTAGTACCAAACGTGAGGAGGTAACGCCATCTATCGGCAAAAATAACTGAATTAAGATAGTAAAATTTTAAAGGCATTAGGAAGGACTGGATTGGACTAAACCTGCTAAATCTTTGTGAATGTGAAAAGCCTCAAGAAAATCCAATTCACCTATGGAAGAAGCCTTTTGGATAATTTTTGCAGACCCAAAATCAAAATTATGGTTAAAAGTCCAACTATCATACGCTATGGAAGACTTGTTAATTTCGCCTTTTCTGACATAAGATTCATGTTCCTTGATACAAAACTTCAACGCTCTTTTTGTTTGGCCAATATATCTTAAACCACAGTGACACGATATACTATAAATTCCCCAAGAATTCAAGCCAGAAACACAATCTTTTAGAATCAAAAGGGTGAATTTTATTAATAGGGGAGAAACCGACTTGAAAATTTAATTTCTGGAGAATCCGTGCAATTTTATAGCTAACAGAAGGATAAAATGGAAGCACGACAAGGTCATTAATATTATTTCTAACAGTGGAATGTCTTCTTTGATGGGAATCTGAAAATTTTTTAACGGCTTTATCAATAATCACGGGAGAAAATCCACGGTCAATCGCAACTGTTCTCAAATAATTAAGTTCATTGGTAAGCAAAGATTCAGAGGAACAAACTTTCAGCGCGTGGAATACATAATAGTAAAAAGAAGCCATTTTTTGCTTAACAGGGTGGCATGACTTGGCATGGGGTGGTAAACAAACTGCAAAGGGTTTACAGTACACAGTGGTGCTAAAATCAGTTTCATTGCGGATTATAAGAATGTCGAGGAAGGGGAGGGAATTGTTGGATTCAATTTCAAGAGTGAATTGGATGGCTGGATCAATTGAATTCATAATAGATAGAATCTCGGATAAATCCTCTTTATAACCGTCAAAAAGTGCGAAAGTGTCGTCAACATATCGAATCCAAAGACGAAAAGATAGTTTATCAAATAATTTCATCTCAAAATAGTGCATATAAATGTCAGCAAGTACCGGACTGAGAGGATTACCCATAGCCAATCCTTCAACTTGACGAAAATATGCATTTTGGAAAACAAAGTGGGTTTGACTTAGAGAAACTTTAGTAAGCGAAACTAACTCATTAATTTCAGTATGTGTGAAGTGAAATTCCCGAAGCCTAGTTTCAAGACAATTTAGTGCTCCATGGACCGGAACATTAGTAAACAGAGATTTGACATCAAATGAAACCATAATGGAACGAAGTAGAGAAATATTTTTAAGTTTATCAGTGACTTCAACAGAATTTTTTTACAGTGTGAATATATTGTGAATATATTATGTACCTTCTTTACTGAAAGGAGAAAATCTTCAGATTTTATTTTCAGTTTAAGTCTGCTTTTAAAAACTGAATGTTTATACTTAGAGAGCATTTTAATTAAGCTTCAAACTTAATTACAATTCTTTAAGTATAGTATTTTATTTTTACTGCACATTTCTGCAATACAATTCCAGTTGCACCCTACAGTTGGAATTAATAAGGTTTACTTATTTCATTTTTTTAGGGGTCTTCTTGAATTGTATATGTACTAAACTATCCTGTTTTAGAATGCTATCATTTCTGAAAGGCTTTCTGCTAAATTGCATAGATGTGCTGAGAGAAAAGCAAAAAAAAAATTTTATCGTAATGAAAAAGTAAGGCAAATTATAAAAAAGTATGGTACATAGCTGACAACATTTGCGACTAGATTGCATAGCTGTTAAGTGAAAGAAAAACAAAAGTATTTTCACTGTAAAGGAAAAGTAATGCAAATAATGAAATAATATGTCATAAGCTTAAAAAAGTTAACAGTGCTTAATAATTATCAAAGTATTTTACTTCTGAAATTTTTAATTTTTGCCTTGCTTATTTGGAAGCATTTATTTAAAATTTTATATATATATATATGTTTTAGGTATGACAACCATTCAGTTACAGAAAAGAAGAGTGGATGGAAGTGCCAGTTATTCATAGCAAGAGTTTTAACACGTTTTCAAAAAAAATGAGGGACATAGTGCTTTTTATGAAAGCATTTTATTATATTCATTCTGTTACAATAGTTATTTGTTGCAAAATGTTAGTTTATTTTCTCAGTCAGTTTTGCTGTTCATTATTGTTGTGAACTAACTATATTGTGTCTGTTACTTATTTGTTTAATTATTAACCATTAGCAAGTTATCATTGCTATTAGTTCATATATTTAAATATATCATATTTAATGATAAAAAGGGCTATTTGACCCTCTGAGCAGTGTGGGATTTTAAATCTGTATTTAAACAGCATTTATTAACTTAATTTTTATAATTACTTATCTTAATCTCTATTTTCATAAACTTATTCATTAAGATGACATTTACATTATTAAATGTAGTAAGAAAGCAAAATATGTTAAATTATAAGCTAATATGTGCCAACTGACAAACAATCTTATAACCGGATAAAGCTAGTCATGCTGCTTAGAGGGTTAAGTCTGATAAGTATATGTAGAAAATTTAATGCTTTAGTAAATAATTGACAACTTATATCTAAACATTAGTTTTACTATATTATACCTAAGAAAAATGAAGTTATATGAATGTTATAGGGAGTCTTTAAACTCTGTATGAGAAAGCTCAGATTATTCAGTTGCATACTGAATTTGGACATGTGTATATATATGAATCAATATGAAAAATAGTATTGCATCTTGGAAATACAAAAATGTTCAAGGAGGTTTTTAATTATTATTTATTACTATTATGATTATAAATATACAAAAATTAATTTCTATGTGAAGTAAATAGAATAGGTAATATCTTGCATAGAAATCTTCTGTTACTGAAGGTTATAAATTATTTAAGCTATCTTTTTCTATAAAAATAAGTTTAAAAAAATCCAACTTATATATTGTGTCTTGTGTAGTAAAAATCAGTTATATATCACTTTGTAACTTTGTATGTCTGATATGTATTTGTAATTTTCTTGCACATTATTATTTTTTTCTTAATCTTGAAAAGTTTTTTAATGCCTGTATCTTTTCTTTCTTATATTGTTTTAGTTTATGTATTTGTGTAATAAATTAGTTTTTTTTTTATTTATTTAACTTGTAGCAAATATAAATTACACAAAGTATTGCACTGCCTCCACTTTTATGTATCACATTTGTAATTTTAAATTTAAAGCACAGTAATTTTTATAGTGATATATGCATATATTATTTTAATTTTAATTTTTGTTAAATATTTTTAATTTTTATATAATTTATTTTTTAATGGGTACATTAAAATAAATTTTTATGAAAAGTCAAATCATTTTGCATTCTGTATTTTCACAATATAAGCTTCAGAACAACAAATTTGTTAACTTTATATACTGTCTCCCTCTATGTATATGTGTGTGTGTATATAATGAACGAAATAAACTAAGAAGTAGAACAGCAGGAATTTTTATGACGTAGAAACGTAGATTGTAGATCTGTAATGTAGTGCAAGAATTTGATTGTGTAGAATATTAATCTGTAATGAATAGGAACTTGGCAGCTGAGATAGATGAAATCTTCATTTTTACTTCAATAAACATGTTACAGCCACTAACAACGTGACACTTACTCGTACTTCTTTCGAAACATTTATTAGGAGTGTTCAAGTGAAGAGGTACGAAACAACACTATGGATTTACTGAAGTCTTTATTCACAAGTATTCACCAGAGGCCTGAACACTACTATCCCACTGTTTCACGAGCCAAAGGATTCGTTCTTCCCAGAATTCCTGTAGCCGTGACAGGAGCCAGTCCTCCACTGTGTCCTTCAGTTCGTCGTCCAAGTTGAAGCACTTCCCTTTGAGATGTGACTTCTCACCAGGTCATTCACTTTGTCTATAAGGTCAGCCACGATTACCGTGTTTGCATGGCCTGGTCTCAGGTCATCAATCAAACACTCCAGGCCTTTACAAAAAGTGGCACTCCACTTTCTCACTTAACTTTTCAAATACAGTCTCCCCCATATACGACCATCATTGAGCAATGAATATCGGCTGGTTTAAACCCTTCCACAGTCAGAAATCTGATAACACCTCACTGCTACTCAGTTCTCAAATTTTGCAATGTGATTGCCATGATGTCCTCACATGCAGTGCCACATCAATTACACGGAACACACAACTGCCAGCTTCTCTCATGCGTTATGTGTGGGTGCTCATGCATATGCACATCCACACTGGACATTACATTAGCATCCTTAGGTGTCTCACTACGTTATGCTAAAGTGGCATTTTCAAATTTCAACCGGTTTGTTTGTTATGACATTTTGTACCTTTTCATTTGAACAACCCTTATACATTTTTTTTATAGCTTAGAATAGACAGAAGGCAACAGTCCAGTTAGGCCGAAGTGTAGAAAGCACATACCTTGCGTTCAGGATGAAATCTGAATTCAGAATCATAAATGTTATGCAAGAATCATATAACATGGATTAGTCTCGAAATGATGCACTGCAAAAAGAGAATGCTATTTTTAGAACACAGAGGGGGAAATTAATTTCAGCATTAAAGAGACTATTGCTAATTTAAATTATATTACACACACACACACACATATGTGTGTGTATATATATATATCAAGAGATAATTAAATCAAAAAAGTGATAAACTGTATAATAGGGTAGAAATTAAATCAAAACTGAAACATGAAACAAAAACAAAAAAGAATAACATAGTAAACAATTGAAATTTCTTTGGTCATTTTCATTCAGATCATTTTCAAAATAAATTCATAAAATAAATCCAAAAGTGAGTGTAAAAGTAAACTAATTTAAAGCAATATGGCAAGGTCGTAATTTTTTTTTTTTTTTCTTTACATAAAACTGTAAATTTATTGAAAAATGTTAATAAAAATTACAATAAAAAATGTTTAATCAGCCGTGCGAATCCACTTAAATAATATAAAAAATTAAACAGAGTAATTATAAGAGAGTAAGAGTATAATATTAGAGTTTTTGGAATTAGAAACTAGAATAGCAGTTTAGTAATCTTTTATTTCTCACAGTGCATTTCTATGCCGATTTCCTTTCTAGCAAAGACTATAATAAAAAGAGTACTGAAAAATTCCCATAGCACACTGTCAAGTGGAAGTTTCCAGGAGTTTTAAATTCTGTAACTGCATTATTATCTTCTATCAGTAGACTGAGGCCAATTAGAAATTCATATCACTCACATTGACAGAAAAAAAGCTCTGTCCTTTTTTTTTTTTTTTTTTTCTGAGCTAGCAGTGCTGTAGATATCAGAATAAAAAACTGCATGTCAGAGTTTAACCTTCAAACTAGTTCTGAGACGTATTTCTAGCAAAAATTACCAGTTGCTTTTCACATCCTTCAGTGTGATTTCCTTTATAAAAAGCTTAAACTAATAAAATTTGTTTAACAACAGATGGAACTGCCAATCTTAATCTGTTTTTAAAGTCTGAGTTATAGGTAGATTTTTTTTCAAATAAAGAGTGCAAGCAAGTGAAGCAAAAGAATTCAGGCACTAATACTGAATGTGAAATTATAATTATGCATGAATATAGTAAAATTAGTAATGCTTTTCAGTTACTTATTCCAGCCTTTCTTAAATTTTAACTGAAATCACTAACTGCAAAAACAAATGCAGAATCACTTTAACAATAATAACTGTCTAATTTATCGAAAAGTGATGAAAACATTGACATTTCTTTCTTTCTTTTTTTTTTTTTTTTATTTTTTTTTATTTATTTATTTAGCTTCAAAAAATGATATTGCTGAAAATACTGTTGCATAAATATATTACTTTGGAATTATAAAGTTGCTATCATTTGCTTTCTCTTCCTCTTTTCTGAAATTTCTGTTAGGTGATTTGAACCTAGGTTAAGCTGCATGGAGCTGCAATAACAGAAGTTTAAGTTTTCATAACTTGGTTAAATAATGTTGCAATTTTCTACTGTTTTAATTGGTGTAATTTTCTGTAGAAAAAAAAGGGGCATTAAATTTATGTAATACTTTTCATGAAAACAGTATAAATATCATTAATAAAAACGATGTCTTCCTTCAAGTAGAGTTTTGCTTGATTATATAATAATAAATCAGTTATACATATTTTAAATAAGTTTTGTTTGCATTTAAATCACTAGCTTAGATCCCCCCCATTAATTCTGAAATTTTAAATGAAATATGCTTTGTTAAAGGTTTTTAGGACATTTGTTTTTCCTGCAAGTAGCTAATTCATAATCTTACATTAAAAGACTAATTACTGAATTAATAAGATTAATTCAGATGAGGCTGCATTTATGTATGTAGAAATTTTAGAAATTATTTAAATTAAAATTGATGGTATTGCCTTGATAAATTGAGAGCTGCATCGTTTTAAAAGTCATCTTGATCAAAATTATAGGTATTATGAATAAAAACAAAAATTACCTGACCCTTAAATGTAATACAGTAATATTTTAGCGTAAACTTATAATGAGGCATGCTTTTGTTTATTTGTTGTGTCTTAAATTTATTTACTAAATCTACTTACATATATTGACCCAATTAATTAAATACAATGTGATGTAAATTTATGTATTGTATATTGTTGAATTTTTCAAATAATCATCTCTGAATACTGTAATATTTGTGATCTCAATTATATCATTTAAATATTTTATTTTCAAGTATAAATTGTCTTATATGTTACATTTTATTCATGTATTCTTTTTTTGTTAAAGGACTATTTCTAAATACACTTCGTATCCAGGGAAATATTTTTTATTCATAATTTATTTCAATATCATCTTTATTTCAATATCATTCATAGTTTATTTTCAATATCATCTGATACTTTTTGAATTCATTTGTATTTTAAAAAACTCTGTACATTAAGAAGCCATAGCTTTAGCATGTCAGTTAGATAAATATTGGAGTTAAGAATTATGCATTGATTTTCTGATAGTCAGTTTCATGTTGTAGCCATGTAATGAAGTCTATTTTTATACTGCCAAATGTTTGCTACCTCTTGTTGAAAAACATTGTTAGCAATAAGTTAATAAATTTCATTTGTATACTTCTCTCTCGCACTCTTTTTTTTTTTTTTTCCCCTTGTGATTTTTTAAACATTTTAACATTAAATCAGACTATTTTAAATTACATCTATAATTCATTTAAGCAAAACATTTATTTATTTGCATGTTAAAATTTACTTCTCCTTCAAAATCGTGTTGTGTGATCTTAATCAAGTTTATTGAAGAATAGTTGTCACACTAATACTAAATTTTGTTAAATGTGTGAACTTATTTTTACAGGTGTTTGGGTGAGGAGATAAATGATGCTATGGAAGTAAAATAATATTTTATTTCCTTACATGTAAAATTTTACTTATTTTAAAAAACTCTACAATCAGTTAAACGGTGCATAGTCAGTTATTCTATACTGAGGTAAATAATGTATGCCATAAAAAACATTATTGTATTAATTACAATGGTTAAATTTTTTATATAAATTATTAGTTCAATAAATTGTAAATCTCGTGAATTAGATCCTTTGTAAATAATGTTAATCAGAAACAAAGTGCCATATTTTTTAAATATAAACAACCAAGAGAAAAATGCTCACAAACAAAACTGCATAGGCAGAGCTTAGTGATGTCATAAATGAGAGGGATTAACCTTGTCTTCTCACAATGTGTTCTCACATTTTACACTATGTGTAATTTACTATTCTACTGAAAATAACAATCATTTCATTATTAATGTAAATTAGCATTAAATTCTTAATTTTAAATTTACATTTCTAACAGTTAAACTTTGGTTTCCCTGACAATAAGTGTAATAGTCTGAAAATAGTAATCTTACTAAAATAAGTCATATAATCGCTTGGTGTTTGTCCGAAATATTTGCTAAATATCTTTATTTCTCATTTCTTTACTCTTCAAAATATCAACATTTGCCATGCGCTGATGATGAATGTTGAATAAAAATACTTTTTTTTTTACATTTTAATCATGCTTTATTTTTATCTTAAAATAGGAAAAAGCTTATGTAACAGCACAGGAAAATAAACTGTTGACCTTAAAACAAACAGTATATTCTAAATGAGAAAAGAAAATAACACCAATAATAAACTTGCTTAATTTTCTGATTGATGTTATAAAATATTATTTATTGCAACAACTTAAACTCTTATGACGTTTGAACTGCATGAGAATTGCTTGCATTTACAGCTATATTTCATTACAATGGAACACTTCTTTCTTCTCAGCTTCATGGAACTCTGCTTTCTTCTCAGCTTCTCATTTCGACTTCCACCAGAACATATCTGTGCTTGTCGACATACACTGGTGATGGTCCGAATCTTTAAGAATATTCGGTCTCCTTTCACTAACATATTTGGTATGTGTTAATATTCTCAAGTTTTGGTCTTTCACAGTAACACAGCATGTTCTGATATTTTATAAAGATCTGCACTCTGTGGCCTTATGGCCTTTACTTGTACATTTTACTTATCCTCTAGGGCAGGGGTCGGCAACCTGCGGCTCTTTAGTTCCATATGCAACTATTATTTATTTTATTAAAAAAAAAAAGCAGAAGAACTGAAGAAAAGCATCGAGAATTCAATCGGGATTGGACGTAGTTGTTCACTTTCATATTCAACTCAGATGGCCTTCCGACTTGTCTCATTTGCCACGGAAAATTCGCACACAATAAGAAATCAAATTTAGAGAGACACTTCACTAAAAAACATACTCAGTTTGCTAGTAAATATCCAGCCGGCAAAGAACGAAAAAAAAGCTGTCGACGAGCTCAAAAAACAAAAACAGCAATCAAGTTCCATGTTAAGTAACTGGACGCAATCCACAAGTAATGTTAATCTGGCAAGCTTCACGGTATCATTAGAAATTGCAAAAAAACGGCAAACCATTCACAGATGGTGAGTATGTCAAAGATTGCTTCATACGTGCATCTGAAGAATTGTTTTGCAATTTCAAAAACAAACCAGAAATATTGAAAAAAATCAAACATTTGCCACTATCCGCTAAAAAAGAACAAGATAGAATAGCTAAAATGTCTTCAAATGTAACATATTTGCAAGTAGAAGATATTCAACTTTCTTCTGCCTTATAACTTGCTATAGATGAGTCTTGCGACACGGCACAAGTTGCCCTTTTTGTCAGGCGTATGTGTCTTTACCAAGACCCAAAAGAAGAACTTATAGGATTGTACACCGATTCTACTTCTAGGATAGTACACCGATTGCTCTTGGGACAAAATAGAGCGGGAAGATATAGCAAATCCCGGTGAAAAAATGAATTGAAGACAATAAGATCGATTTAAATAAAATCGTTTCAGTAGCAACTGAAGGAGCCAGAAGTATGACAGGAAAAAAATAAAGGGGCAACAACGATTCTTCAGAGCAAAATAAACCACGAAATTCTTACGTTTCACAGCATAATACACCAAGAAGCGCTTTGTGCCCAAACATTTCTGGCCGAAACAGTTGAGGTCATGAATTTGGTAATCAAGATTGTTAACAGCATCTTGAAGAAAGAAGCACTCTACCATCGTCAGTTTAAAGAATTCTTAAACGAAATGGAGACTCAGTATTCCGACGTCCTTCTTCACAATAAAGTGCGATGGCTTTCCAAAGGAAAGGTGTTGAAACGTTCTGCTTTGTGCTTGAATGAAATAAATACATTCCTAAATGAAAAAGGCATTAATCACCCTGAATTAGAGAACGACAAATGATTGCAAAAATTTTACTTTATGGTGGATGTCACAGCAAAATTAAATGAGCTGAATCTAAAACTGCAAGGAAAGGGAAACCCAGCCTATGTTTTGGTAGAAGAATTGGTTTGTTTTGAAGAAAAATTAATTCTCTTTGAAAAAGATATTCAAAGCGGTAAATTACTTCATTTTCAATTTCTAAAGCAATATCGCGATAAAACCAGTGCAACTGTTGACACAAATTACTTCAGCACAGTTATAAAAAAATTAAAGATGAATTTGCTGACAGATTTTGAGCAATTCAAAACTAACAGCCCACCAGCGGCCGAGCGGTAAAGTCGCTGAACACTGGTAGTTCGGTCCGAGGTTCGAATCCCGCGAACGGGCTGGCTGCATGGGTGTTTTCGTGGTTTTCCCCATGTGTAACGTATATACGAGCCAGTTTCCCTTAGAAAGTCCTCCACGAAGGCATCCCTCCCCTTAGGCAGATAGCCCTAGCGTGCTTTGCCATAATTAAATATACCGTACACCGTCAAAACTAACAAAATCACTCTAGCATTCCATAGTAAATCCTCTCAACACAAATAGTAACGAAATCCACATTGAGCCATTTGGAATTGATACTGGATCTCTAGAAATGCAATTGATCGATTTAAAAAGTAAAACTTTTTGGGGTGGAAAATTTACAGAGATGAAAAGCAAAGGTCCAGGAATGTATGTACGTAACGCAACAAAAGTGGACAGCTTTAAAAGAAATGCCGCGAGTTGAGGGACTTATATTCGACGCATGGAATAGCCTTCCAGATTGCTACAGTGAGGTGAAGAAGTTGGCATTTGGAGTGCTGACGAGAAAGGTTGGTGGTAGGATCTCTGCGCATGCGCTAGCAACACAATTTCGCCAAGACCTCGTAAATCGCCAAATTTAGTCGCGGGTTGCGTTTCCTAAGGAGAAAGTAAAAATACGCAGACATGACTAGCATAGATTAATGCTGGTCGAAGTATAGATTTATATAAGAGGGGTTTATTAGAAGCGGGCATATGACTGCTTTTGCCAAGAAGCAGTTGATGATTAGATGACAGAAGCCAAAATATAGTACCACAGGGAATAGGAAATGAGAGAAAGAGGGGGTGACCACTGGACGCCACAAGCAGAGAATCGAACTTAAGCCCAAGACCAGGAGAGGCAGCAAGGTGTGGAGTGTCAGTTGTTTATATTAGCAGTTCCTACATCACGTGACCTCCGACGTTTCCGAAATGTATCTCATTAGAAGTTGTCTGCTTACATCTCAACTCTTCTGTTCGCGAAAAGGTTTAACCCAAGGAGGTTAGAATAGAAGGAGGGAGGGTTCGCAGTTTCCTCCACTATCGGGGAATGAAACTCCGCCGAACAAGCGGCGTCCATGTTTGTGACTTCAAAACATTGCATTACGGCAGTGACATGTACGTGTTTCTAAGCTGTTCCGTGCATTTATTTTCCAGTAAAGATATGTTAAATTTATAATGAAATCCCTCGCTATTGTTGAATTTTTGTTTTAAAGTAATAAAGATGATATCCATAATTTACTATGTACAGCAAATTATAAGAATAGTTCGAAATCTAATGCATGCGCATAACATTAAAGCCTTTAAAAAATGATGTTTCTGCATATTTCCGAATTTGCTTAGGTTAGAAAATAAATCTTAATAAAATAAAACAGATTTATGTGAATTCATTGATTTCAGTTGATGCGCATTTCATATTATTAAATCTCAAAGAAAACTGTCTTTAATTAAGATGATTACAGAAATACACCTATATAAGTTTTTGGATACATCTTTCCACATGTTCAATTGTGGTAAAATTTACTTATTTTATCACTACACTGCGCAGAAAAATTTGTAAGTTTATACAAAAAAATTTAACAACAGAACAGTTTATCTTAACTTAAAAAAATGAATAATAATTAATATATAAAGAAAAGCATGCTTTATTTAACACCTTTACAATTAATAAAATAGTAACAACTGATTTCTTACTTTTCATGAAAGTTATAAAACGAATTACTAAAACGTTCAATTATACAATTTAAATCCTACCATATAGCATTGTATCTTAAGTAACGAAGATACCAGCTATAAACAGAAACATTGAAAATGTATTTAACATATTTTGATTATAGTTATATTACGTAACCTATTTTGATTATTTAAGTCCCTTTTTTTTCACATCTGGAAAGAAAACAACATGACATTGTGATATTTTTTGACATAGTTGTCGTATTACATAAAAAAAGAAAATCAATACTTACGTGTGAAAAATAACGCCCAGAATTTTTTTCGAGAATCTATTTGTGCACCCATATGCAACAC